GAGGTCGACAGTTCGAATAGCTGTACTAGGACTTTAATTTCTAAATTACGTACGTACATATTTTGTGAGTGTTGAGTAGCAATACCTCTTGCACGATCGATGAAGGGAAACGTCGTAATAACGTCAAGAGTCTCAGCTCTTGGAAAACGTGTGAAGTCAGCAACTTTCTACTTAGAGGAGACGGCAGTGGGATCAACAATGCTGCTGCCGTTAGTTAAAATGGCACTCGTGACAAAAACTCAAAATCGAGAAAATAATATTTAAAGAAATTAAACAAAAAACTATTTTTCTCTTGTGGTAACTTTATACAATAAAAGCCGTGGTTAATAAAAGCCGTTTGACCTACTGCCTCTCAAGCAGAAGGTCGTGGGTTCGAATCCGGGATCGCGGATTTAATCTCGGAATTTATGTGCGAAATTTAATTTGAAATTTATCATGAGCTTTTCAGTGAAGGACAACATCGTAATGAAACCTGCACGTTGAAGAAGGTTCGGAAAACGTGTGAAGTCCTTTATTTATTTCTTTATTTATCCCCCATTTAGTCCCCAACCCGCATTGGGCCAGGGTGGCAGACTATGGCCTAAACCCTCGTCTGAAAGGAGACCCGTGCCCAGCAGTGGGACATATAAATGGGTTGATGATGATGAACTTCATACCTTATCCATCTAGAAAAAAAAATAGTGACAGATCCGCCTTTTTACTGATCACAGCCGTACATCGCACTTACAATAGTGTAGCAACTAAAAATATGTGACATTCAAGATTATACTATTGCAAAACGTAAAATATTATTCTCTACAAGTAAATAGTACAGTCATCAGAATCTTGTAAGAAACAATTAAAAGATATCTACTTGAATCAAAATGAGGCAAACTTTTTATGAGCTTGTTCTGGGTAAAACAGTCCTTATTCAAAAATATGACATGTTTTTTCCCTTTTATTTTTAAATATAATTGACATGTATGAAATTGTTTAGATGTCTGTAATCAACTTTAACTTATATATAATTTTAATAATCTTTCACGGTAAGTGAGTAATTAGTTTCTCATCGTTTCTGAAAAAAAAAAACTTTTTGAGTTAATACTATATATATATGGGCGCATGTTAATATTATATATATAATATATATATTAACATGCGCCCTTTCAACTAAAAGCGGCAGAATGGATGGATGATGTTGTTGAATATTAAACCTGTTCATGAATAGTGCCTACTTAAATAGCACCGCACGCCAGAATGTCATGTCTTTGTGCGAACGTGTAAAATAATATAATAATAAACGGGTTAAATAATATGCAATCCCAAGTTTCGCTCCGATGAAGCAAAGGACAGTGTTACAATTAGATAAATGTTCCTGCCACCCAAAATTTTCGACAGATTTTAGCTACAGCCGGTTACGACTTTCATTTAGACTACCTAGTTTCACTACTAGGCAGTGAGAAAAGATGTTCAGATGGCACAGAAGTAGAGAAAAGATGTTCAGATGGCACAGAAGTGGCGAAAATCGCCATATATTGTAGATTTACTTGTACTTAGATGTTGCCAAAATGCTTTTTTTGAAGGCCAATATAAAATAGGGCTCAGAAAAAGGCTGTTTTGTTTAAATAATGAATACTATCTAGACGACTTGATTCGCTTTTGTGTTGAATCGATTTATTTAATAATCGCATTTAAAATGGATCGACATGAATGAATTTACAGGGTCAAGAGCACGTTAAGCTCGACACTTAAGATTTAAATCCATCTCTATGCCGCTTACGATAAGAACGGTCCAAAGTACAAACTGTCAAGCTTGACGTGCTCTTGACTGTACATTTCAATCAATCTTTATAAAAATCAAATCGTACTGTGCATCCCTAGTACACGGACTGCTTGTGTTATGTTACAGCCTCAGTGGCTCAACGGATTGAACTGTGCCATTCCATTCCCGATTAGACCAATTTGGGAATTCAACTTTCATAATTGGTACTAAGTGTTCTGTGTAGTGTCCCTGAGTGAATTCCGTTACTCGGATACTCATAATGCAGGGAATTGGTTTGACGCCAAGTTATGAGTGTGGTTATCTCGCACATTATTATTACTACTTTGACGACCTCAGTAGCACAGCAGTTTGTTTTCTGGTCGCTGAATTGATTCCTGGTATAATCAAAATTTAGCAAAATTGATCCTGGTGTGTGTTCTGGACAGTGAGTTACTTTACTCTGGTAATCATATTACCAGGACTTTTGTTTTCCGGCACAAGTAACCCTTATGGGTGTAACGGTAGTACGCTTTATAATCAACAAAAGCGAATTGCCGACGCGTGAGAAATCGCAATTTGCAGTGCAATTAATAAGTCCAGCATAAGGTTATGGTGTTTTCTAGAATGATAAGCAATCAAAACAATAGAAACTTTTGTTGAATTGCAAATGGGAGCGAAATAAGGAAATGTGGTTATAAACCAAGTGCAAACCCTTTCTGTAATAAAATTTGCCACCGAAATTAGGTAGAGAAAACTAACCTGAAAATTACACTCTAACGTATCTCTGCCGTACGCTAACTATAAAAAACCATAACCTAGTTTTAGAATACTGAAATTGTTTAATGATATTTCAGCTATGCATAGTTAGGGCACGTTCATCGGAACTTCGAACAAGTTAAGTCATAATTATGTTAGTCGTAGTACATATGTAAGTCGGTTCGAATCCGACCGGATCGAAGGAATTTTTTCTGAGTGTTTTTTCTGAGTGTTCGATCTTTGTATTAATAATTATAACAAGCTAGTGGAGTAATTTCACAAAAAATAATTGAATATCAATTCAATAAAAATTTAATTAAGTTAAGTCATTTTAACTGTTTTTAAAAGAGAATTTTGTGCTCTTTTGCTATTTAAATCGGATATAATATGACCATTTGCCACTTGTCCACTTTTGTCCTTGATAATATGTAATAAGTTAAATTAAGAATTGATACGTGCTCGGAATAAATTTGGTGATTTTAAATTTTAAATATGGTTCCTTAAAATAACAAACATTTATTATCGTACAGTACTGGGGGTCTACTCACGTTCTCCGTTCGCCATACATCCGAAACAAGTACTTTCCAATGAGTAATACTCGAACAAATTAAAAAAAAACCAATGTCTAGTATGAGCCTTCATTCGCATCATGCGTCTTTTTGTCGAGTTATTACTTATTTGACAGTAATTGTTTCGGGCTGAGAACGAGAGTACAGGGCCAGGGTCAAAAGAATGTCACGATTGACACTTAAGATTTAAATTCAACTCTATGCCGCTTTCGATAAGAACGGTCCAAAGCATCGAGCTTGATTGATGTGCTCTTGACTGTACAACACCTCGATCCAGGCAAACGCAACCTAACCTTAGTTTAGTGCATGTCTCTTTCTAAAAAAAATCACTTTCAAGAAAAGGACGGAAGATTTCCGATACGCCAAATTAACCGACGCAAATAAGCAAAGGTATAATTCAATAAATAACACTACGCTTATTAAACTTAAAAATTGCAACTTTTCACTAGAGTATATAAAACGGAAACTTGCGATAACATTTAATTTTTTTTTTTTTTCAAAAAAAAAAGGAGGAGGTTCTCAGTTCGTTTGTTTTTTGTTGAAAAGTGGCTACCTCAGTAGTGATCCCATTTAAATTTCATGAAAATATTCCACCTCTAAGGGTGGCAAACTAGGGGATGAATCCGGATTCGCGCACTTTCCGGTAACCGATATCAATAAAATCTGGCAAATAAATATAATTCCACGAACTTTTCAGGTCGGTTTTTTTATTACTCTGTACTGTGATTGTCAACATTAACTATTTTTTTAATAAAACTTATTTTCTTTATTTCTAATTTAATATATGTATTAATTTTATCTGAATCATTTGGCATCGGAATATCGACAAAATTCGAGTAAATTTACAAACTGTAAGAATGTACAGAAGAAAGAAATTTCATTCTCTTTTGTTCTTACCATAAAAATTCTATGTGAGGCGTGAGGTGCTCACCCTTTTCTTATTGGCATCGATATCGACTGACTCACAGCACTTAAAGTAAGTTTAGTTTTGTCCAATTTGCCAGTGACATACTTAAAATAACTTTTGCATATAACTTTGACGGTTACTTTTGAATGTAACTTGAGTTAAAGAATAAATAACTTAAGTTGAATATTTCTTCACAAAAACATTTGAAGTGGTCTAGAAACAATGAAGGGGACTTTGTGGCCGATAATTTGTGATTTATGTGTAATTAACGCAAAAGTGGCATGACAATCAATTAGTTTCACTAGCTGTTTAGCTTTAGCGTCCACTTTTGAAGTTTTCCTTACTACACTATTACTTCTTAAAAATATACAAACACACCGTGCCTTTAGAATGCATTCATAGGCCCTCCTAGAGAGCTTCATAGGTAGTTAACTCACATCCAACGACACTGCGGTTATCTCTACATCTATTGACTTTTTACAAAACCATAAATTTACGAAAAATAAACTTTTTAAGTTTAGTTGTACTAATCTGTCTCAAATGCTGTCAATAATAAAAATGATCTTATAGTAGTGGTAGCAGGCTTTTCTTCGCTACCCAGCACAGAGTTATAACTTATCACCGTTTGGAGCAATCTATTTAAATATTTTTATTTTTAAGAAAATCTGATGAATTATGTAAGGCCATGAATCAAAAGTTATTATTGTTTATAATGTCAGTAATATAATCCAGGGAAGTTAGTATTTTACAGATAACCCTATATAACCATAATGCCTGTCTATTGTGACATAACTTTTTCGCTTCACCCAGTCACATCCGCCTTTTCACACAAGCCCATTTTTCTTAAAATGACACATTTCTTGTGATGTCACTTAATAAAAGCACCCAATAGTCAAGAATGGAAACAAAATTTCACTAACAAGAGTATAAAATTTAGCACTGACCCCACTAGAAAATATAATGAATTTACTTTACATAAGCAACGTATTGTCTGTATATAATTATCTACATATCCTTTCTTTGTGTATGTACATATATTTGAATTTAATTGTAAATAATTACGCAACTAAAAAATACTATAATACTATTTTGCGTGTAAAACTAAAGCAGTTCGTATTTTTATGTAATAAGATGTATTTTTAAAACAGATTTTTTTTTTCCTCGAACTTTGAACAGGTACATGTTCTCTCTTCCTCTGTCATTATTCAACAAATTGTGTTCTATCAAGTATCCTTGATTTAGTCAAGCAGCTACATGGACACTCATCATCAACCAATGATCTTATCAACAAATTTGTATGCAGTCAGTCTTAACTTGCTAGGGTAAAAGTTAAATCATAGGCAATATTATCTCAAGCATACTAGTAGGTCCTAGTCTACAAAAGTAAAATAGAAAGTAATATTTTCTATCTTTTACATAGACTTGCAAATTATTAATCCTTTAAAATTTAAATGATATTTGTCCAATACCCAGTTGCATATTACAAATTTGCAGTCACTACACCTTTGATTTATTTGATAATTCAAACGAGCTCTTTTTTAAATTTAGCTTTTCATCACATTTAGTTGTCAATGTCAACCTTCTTATGTCAATCCCTTTAGATTGGTCTATCTAGGTAAGTGCAGAGAGGCAGCACCTTACATAGAACAAAATTTTAGCCCTCTAAGAGTTCTTAAAAACCTCCAGTAAATATCTTAAAGACAGCGAGGTACTTGTACTAGTATAAAACCTGTATAACCAATAAAATACTGTAGATATTTACCTGAGCATACCAATAACCCATGCTTTGTTGGTATGGATATGGATATTGCGTTTGTGCTCCCATGTTAGCCGGTGCAGCTGGTGTTGCAGTGTTAGTCGTACTCTGTAATGTTACAAATACTGTTTAACACTAAGGTCATAATAAACTTCTTTGAAATGCCTAAATACAAGAAAAAATGTTACAAGAGATAACAGAATGAGACAGCCAAAAAAAGTGCAATAAATGGAATGGATCAAGCAAGTAACAGATATAAATGTCTACAAAGATATGGCTTACTGTAAAGAAATGCTGGCAGCTTATGGAGCTACCCATTAGATGAGAATATTTGTGGTCAACTGAATTTTAACCATTAAAACACCCTTTAAACTACTAAATAATAATTGTCCCATAACAACAGCAACTTTAACTGTTCGAAATATTCTTTTTTGTGTTAGTTATTTTATTATACAGCATTGAAAGTAAATAATTTACAAAGAATAAACAAGAATGTTTATATTTTACACTTGATTATATAAACAATTGGTATGTATGGACTGTCACAGTGCTGGATAATGTCCAAATTTTTTATACTTTGAAAGTTACTTTGTATTGTAAACTCATACATACTGATAGCAGTATAAACACCAATAAAAGCAGAACAGATGTTATATATACGCTTTTATAGTGCAAAATCATATATAACAACTTTCTATTATTTAGACTGTTTATCACAAACAATTACCTAATCTGAGAACTGCAAAACTTATCTTTTAAATGTAATCAGGAAATATATGATAAGTACTAAAAACATTTGCCCCATGGAGTAATACAAACCTGATTATCACCCCCTCCTCCATTCTCTTTTCCCCAGAAACATTTTACTGTATGTCCACTAATTTCTGTGTTATGAACGGCTTCAATTGCATGAGCAGCCGCCTCCTTAGTTGTGAACCTAATGAATGCATAGCCTTTATCCCTGAACACTCTGATGTCCTGTATCTGACCAAACTGTGAGAATGTGTTCTGCATTAGCTCCTCGGTGATAACATTGCTTGTGAATCCTCCGCAGTAAACAGTCGTGTTTGTGGGTGAACTCTGATTGTAGACCTCGTCAAATGTAGGCTGCTTCGCTCGCTTGCTGCTGGGAGCGCCCTCGTTTGGCCTGTTGGCTGGCGGCTTGCGTGTCGACCAGTTCGTCCGTATAGATCTCGAGCCCAGCCACTGCCCGTTCATAGCCTGGATCGCAGCTTCAGCGTCTGCCTTCTTCACGAACGATACAAAAGCGTACCCCTTAGATTTGAGCGTTTGTGGGTCGCGAACTATCCGACAGTTCGAAATCTCACCAAACGGGGCGAAAGCATCGCGTAATATGTGTGTTTCAATCTCTGGCGACAGGTCCCCTACGAATATGTGGTGGTGGTTGCTCGTGTCCGTCTTCGGCTGATTCCCAGGACTTGTGGCCCAGTTAACCTTCATTTCCTTGTCAAGAAACACTCGCTTGTTCATGGCGGCCAGGGCCGTAGCCGCCGACGTGTGACTTGTAAACTCCAGGAAAGCATACGGATCGTTGCCAGGCTCGCGGATTATCTTACACCCTTTTACTTCGCCTATTTGTCCGAACAATGCGCATAGAAAATCTTCTGTGACACTCGCGTCTAAATTACCGACGTAGAGAGTTTTCGGGTGGCTTTCGTCGCCCATTATTAGCTTATATCGTAATCTAGCGTTTACTTAATTACGACTATGAACACTAATATCGAAAATACTCGTAATCGACGTGTTATTTCATCACATAAAACATTGGATGACCGATAAAAGAAAGAAAAATGTCGCAAACAGAGCTATAACTTCTCGAAAGACGTTGCTGTTGACTCGTGAAACGTTCACTTTTCGGAAACAAACGCATCTATAGACGAATTTCCGGTGGAATCTATTTGAAATAATGGCGGCAAAAAAAAATTATTGCAAAAATACAAGTGAAAACTACAAATATATTTTACAAAATTATACGTATTAGTCATAAATGGATGAAAATGTGTTATGAAAAACATGCGGTTGTATTTTTAATGGAAAATTTAATAAATAAATTTGGGGCACCAGCGACAATATAAAAGTATTTCCGTAGACAAAATGCAAACTTTCCGGAAACGAGTGTCACTTAAAATCTATGACTCATCAAAAGTGCTATTTCATTGGCATAACAATTAAATGAATCGGGTCGTCATTGGACCAATGTCTGTCAGTTATTAAATTTTACCAATCACAACACAAACAGTATTACCATGGAGATGCAGCAAAATTTGGTATAGACAAATATAAAATGAGAGTTGTGTTGATATTGGATAACACTAACATTATGGTTAGTAAAACCAAATTAAATAATTTGTTTTAAACAATTTAAACCTTCCTAAATATGAGTAATTTATCTAAACTTAAAGCTTAGAGTTAACTATTATAATAATGACTAATAATAACCTTACTCTATTTGACGTTTACTGAGCGTGTGACGTCAAAAATTTTTGACAGACCGATGAAACGAAACTGAAGTTGTTGAACGATGCTGTAAAAGTTTGTTAATTTTTGTGAAATCTCTATTGAAGCGTATGTGATTCGGTCGGCATATGGTTCTGGTACATAATGCTCGTTGTCCTTTCTTAGGCACTTCCTTATTTTTGCGCTAGAAGAGTTCTTATCTTGCGAGGTTAGGTACCGCTTGTCAAGTACACGTATGCAGTGTTTCTAAAGTTTTGGTGATTTCTGTGTAATTAGGCCTGAGATGACGTGAAAGCCTGTACGTATCCCAAGAGTCATCATGTTGCCGCTCACACAGAAGGACACGCGTCTGTCGCGCGGGCCTTTCGGACGCCTTAGCGAGAAATTACAAAACTGGATGAGACTAATTTATTCCGATAGGAATTCAAGGAATCTGTTCCTTTTCCTTCTACTTAATTTGTCCTTCGCATTTGTTGAGTTGTTCTATGGAGTATGGACAAACAGTTTAGGTTAGTATTTTTTTTTATTTTCTTGTGAACTTGATTTAAAGTTAAGCCCAACTTTTCTTAAAGTAATAGCCTAAGGATATTTGTAGAAGGCTTGTAATGGTTGTGAATATTTTTTCAGGTCTAATTTCGGATGCATTCCATATGTTCTTCGATTGCACAGGCCTGGTGGCAGGTCTGGCTGCGTCACTAGTATCCAAATGGCGTGCGAACGAGAGATATTCTTATGGCTATGCACGAGCTGAAGTGCTAGCTGGTTTTGTGAATGGACTCTTTTTACTATTTATTGCATTTTTCATCATGAGTGAAGCTGTGGAAAGAGCTATTGAGCCACCTGAGGTAAGATTATAATTTTGTTTCTTGATAACAATTATTACTAAAACAATTTATGTACAAAATTGGCCAATACATAGCTCAGATTATCCAAAAAAAAATATTTGTGTGAGTGGTATGTACTGTCTACATAACTAGTTCAATTTGCATTTAATTATTATCTCCAAAACATAAGCTGCTGAAGTTCTATTACAAAATTATTAATTTGATAAAAAATATCCTTGTATCTCAATTTACTGAACATAAAAAAGAAATTGTCATAACATTGTATTTCTTCATTATTTTATAGAAGCCACTATATTGATTATTTGTGGCAAACTTAAAATAATCCTTGACACTGTATCTGTGTGCAAAGCAAAGAATTAATACTCTGAAATAATTTCTATAAAAAGTTGCTAGATTGTAGAATAAATATCTCCAAAATTATTCTAGAGACTTAAATAGGCCGAGTATATTTATCTAAACTTCATGTAATACACATAGAGTCAGGATTCAAAATTCCTAAGATTTTTTTTGATAATAATTTATCATGATAATTTTGCCGCCGTTAGTTAAAGGGTGTGTGACATTTAGATAAAATTGTTATGTACTGCTGTGGTCAGTAAAATAAGGTTAATTTGTCACTTTTTTATTTTTTACTATAAGTGGATATGGTATGAAGTTACCACAAGAGAAAAGTAAATATTTTTAAATTTCATTTCTATAAACATTTTCTCAGTTTTGAGTTTTTTAACTGACTTAAAAATTTCTTCTTCGATGATTCTTTTTTATTGGAAAGAGGGTACCTCGGATGTGGTCCTATTCGAATTTGAAGAAAATATTCCACCTTTAAGGGTGGCAATCTAGGGGATGAATGACTTTTGAGGTCTTTTTTTTAGTACTCTGTACTGAGGTTATGTCACAAGCACCCTTTCCCTTTCCACTAACTGCAGCAGAATTATTCAATGTATATTTGATAATTGTCCACACTGATTCATTTTCCTTTACTTTAATTTTTGAGTGAAATTGACAAACAGTGAGAAAATTTAATAAACAAAGAAAAATAATCGACAAAACAATCTTGTTTGTGACTTTTGAGATTGACAATTGACACGTTTGGGTGTCACATGGATTATATTATGATATGATATGACACAACACTTAGCGAATTTTATAAATATCAAGGTATATTTATCAAGATATTTATTGTGAATTATCACAATAATAAAAGTGATAATTATATCAATGATAATTATAGAACCCTAAATAGAGTGGGAGATACCTACCTCTGAAATCTCAGATTGATTAAAAATGAAAGGCAAAAATAAATACAAATTTTTATATTTTTACTTACAATAACGGAACTCGTCTTCCAAATACAGTTAATTACTAATTAGGTGTCAAAAGTACAAAACAAAATATAGTACAATAATTCCGGAATTTCAGTAACACTAGTACGATAGAGTGCGATTTACGATGCGACATAGAAGCGCGATAGCTATCGTGCGTTTATGTCGCTTTTCACGCAAGTCGCGCCTTGTGGTGCTGCGCTGCAGACAAAAATATTTATTGTATGTATTTATTGAGTTCAGGTTTTCACAATTGTTGCACATAGGAAATGAAACTATTTTTTCGGATCTTAATCGCGTATATTAGTTTTGTTCAAAGTTTAGGTAATCATCAATAAAAGGTCAAGTATTTTATGTATTTTTATACACAAAAACAAGACTACAATTAATAATATAAACAAATAAATCTCGGTAAATAGTCCTTCTTAAATCCCAAAACAAAGATCTGCAACTATGTGCTAGTGTATGTAGTATGTGGAAAAATTCGTGAGGTCCATTTATGCGTTCCCTGGCTTAGTTGGCATAACGTCTGGCACGGTTTGCTAGGAGCCGTTGAATCCAACATTGGGGAATCCAGCCAGATCAATGTGAATTCTTATATATATTATCGTATATTCTTAAGTATGTTTCATACTTGGAACAAACTAGTGGAGTAATTTCACAAGAAATAATTGAATATCATGGTGGTGAAATGTTGTGACATTCAATAAAACTTAATTACAAATAGTCCTTCGGTTCAAATCCGGCCGGATTGAAGGATTTTTTTCTGAGTGTTCAATCTCTGTATTAAATACCAAACTAGTGTAGTAATTTCACATAAAAAATAATTGAATATCAATTTAAATACAATGTATAGCGATATCTCTAGCCAGGGCTGGTAGCTGTAAAGGTATCTAACTGGGTGACGAAATACTTAAGATTTCTCATAGATGGCGCTACGGCTAAAAAGTCGTTGAAAAACCATATTGAAAGACACGGCAACAAACAGAAAAATTCGTGAGGTCCGCTGGTTCGTTCCGTGGCTTAGTTGGCATAGCGTCGGCCACGGTATGCAAGAATACGCCGGTTCGAATCCGGCCGGATCGAAGGAATTTTTTCTGAATGTTCGATCTTTGTATTAATTTTTTTTTAAATTATTTTTGTTCATATGCCCTCAGTCCTTAAACTTAAACATATCCATGCTATAGTTTTACAGTAGTTTTTGGTATAAGTTCTGTGGCATTCTCCTTCTTAACTTTGTACTCGGCTAATAGTGTTCTGCCAATGTATATTTCGAGTAGCCTTGATTTTTTCAAACAGCTCAAGCTTCCCAGATGCTCATTGTCAACCAAGATTTTAAAGCTATAGGTGAGAGGTTAAAGAACCTTAAGTGCCTAATAGTAATTTTTACTACGAAGTGTTTTAAAGAGAATGAAACTCTTATATAGGCATTTCCTAAACTTAATTATTTAACAGCCTTTGTGGACCTATTATAAGATCAATAACAATTCGATTGGAAATATATTATTACTATTATTTAAAATCAATCTTAAGTTGAAATAAAATTTGTTAAATAAGAAACAAACGACAATAGGATTTAGTGTCTTTTACCATTGCGTGATTTTTATCATTCTAAAGCAGTATTTGTAAAACAACAAAATTCTTGCAGAAAGCAGACAGTGTTTTGTTAACATATATATAGGTTATTTGTAAAATACGTACAACCTCTTTTTAGCAGTAGAGTTCCTTGTCTAAGAGGTCGTCCAGGGAAGTACTGCCACCTTACCGATACCTTTCGCCAAGCAGTAATGTGAGCAATAACTCCGTTCGGGTTTTGAAGGGTAAGGGTGCTGGTGAAATTACAGGCACATAGGACTTGTCAACTTATGTCTCAGATCTTTGCAATTTAAAGCTCTGAATTTCACTGCAACTGTTATGGACAGGCGTATAGATTACCATCAGGCCCACGACTTGTTCGTCCCGTCAGTTGATTTTATAAAAAAAAACTAACATAACCACTTTTGTTCCACGACTTTTAATAGTTCATCTTTACTTTCGTGCAAAAAATATTTAAATTTCTCTACACCGTAATAACTCTGGGCAGTAACAAAAGACAGCGCTAGTGTAAATACCAGCCCGATGCAGTCAGGTCTACCTTCGTTCTCCGTCCAACATCCGTCTGAAACAATTACTGACAAATAAGTAATATTCGACCAATTATAAGACGCATGATGCAAATGAAGCTTCAAAGTTGACATTGTCTTTTGGTGGGTGGAGGTCGCCAGAGAGGACGCTTGTTCTAAAAAGTGTCAGATTGAACAACAAAAAGTTAAAAATTTATGCGTATGCGCGCCATCGGCATTTGTGTCAGATGGGAGACGTGGCTAATTAGGGTCCACCTTGCGCTGAGTGACGTAATGAATTAGTATTGCGTAGTGGGACGTGTTTGGTCACGTATGCGGAAACTCAGAATCGGAATTTGATATTGTCACTGTGTTTGTTGCACTCACGCTCAGTAGATGTTGTCACAATTCCGGAGCAGCGATGCTCGCCTGATAGCCCCAACACTTTTGCCGAATTATTTCGATTTTTTTTTTGAAAATTATGAATTGAAATATGTAGGGAATTAACAAAATACACATCTGCTGTAGTCGGAATCCAAGAGGGAGGGGGTTTTATTTATCAATTATATTTTGTAAAAAATCGTGGGAAAAATAGTAGATTGTACAAGAAGTGCATAAAACGCGTCATTTTCTTCGAGGGTAAAATGGGTTATACACTCTGCTTTTCACTTCGATGCGAGAAAATTAGACAGCAATATTACAAATAAACGATTATTTAATAAAAATTGAATGTAAAATTACAACAATTAGACATATTTAATATGTCGGTTTTTTATTTTATGCACTGGAGCATAAAATCCTATTTTATGCACTAGAACATAATATCCTATTTTATGCACTGGTACATACAATCCTATTTTATGCGGCCTACACCCAGCATAAATACGAACTTTAAGAGCATGACAAGTAAAAATAGTAGATTGTACAACAATTGCATAAAATGCTTCATTTTACCCGAGCCGCAGGCGAGTGTGGATACTTAAGTCGAGGGTAAAATAGGTTTTATGAACGAGTTATACACTCTGCTTTTCACTTCGATTGCGAGGAAATTATACAGCAATATTACGAATAAACGATTATTTTCTACACGTGACGCAGGTCGGACTACATAATGCTCTGTATATTTTACAAGGTTTTATTTTTTATGCATTTCTTATAACTTATTAGAATTACTATTGCCTACTTTTTTATTTTGTAATATAATACGGATTAAAAAATTAAAGTAAAATTTTGTTTCATAAAGTTCTAGTGTGCGTGGCTGTCGGCGCAAGGCGTCATTGCCTCGGTCTTAAACGACGATTTTATTTTATAGCACTAGAGCATAAAGTCCTATTTTATGCAGCCTACTCGCAGCATAAATACGAAGTTTAAGAGCATGAGAAGTGAAAAAATTATTTATGTCTTAGTTTATGTATATCTTTATTTATGTCTTATATGATACCTACTAGTATTTTACAAATAACCCTGTTATAAAGCAATCAAATTATTCACATAAATTATCAATACAACAAAATCAATTTCATTATCAGATTTTTTCCTTCATAGATTAGCCATGTACTGTGTCTCTCGTCTTATC